TAATATTTTCTGAGTAATATATAACAATATATTACCTATACCATTGTATAGTTCTTTAATATACGAAAAGGAAACATTTGGCCCCTTGTGAAATTACTACGTTACACTCGACCATCTAAAAATTATCTAAATTACTACCACACGGTTGTTCCAAAAAACAAAATATGTAAATATTATCATTATTATTATTATTTATATCTATCCTATTGTTTTGGATTAAAAACAAGGTATTGCAGCAGGTTCAAAATCATTATTAGTCATCAATTCAATAATACATGTTTTCTTTATTTACTATAATTATGTTAGATCAAATTCGTCTTTTTTATTTTTGACGTTTTGTACACCATTCCCCTTGGACACGGCACAAAATGAAGAAATGCCACTCCAAATCGTTATCAAAATATGAAAATCATTTCTTACCTCATCTCACCAATAACGCAACAAGTATATCATGGAAACGGTAACTTCAGTTTGTTTTGTTTGTTTCAGACGATGATTGGAGTGGAGAGGGAAAAACCAGAGAGGCTGCAGAGCAAGCCGGTAAGTGGTTTTTTATAAATCGCTATAATATAAAGTACTCACTAAAGTAGCTATTCGGCGTTAATAAAAATAACAACATAAAAAGTTTTTTTTCTATATTTTTATTTTTAAATAATACAATGTGGTGGGATTTAGATTGAAGATGTTTTACCCCATTATCATGAAAGTTAGATGATATACAATTCGCAGTTAATACATTTATTGGTATACACGCATATGTTTATTTTTGAATCTACAAGTATTGAAATTATATAGAGATTAGAAAATTTAATTTATATTTATTTTGATATATTGATTTTATTACAAAATATTTTACTCCGTTTTTTTCTTGAATTATTATGTTGATTTTGTAAATTGTTAAGTGCCTTGTCTGCTACCGAAAGCCCCTCCAATTATCTCTCTTCCAGACCTACTCTAAAATCTACATTTCGAATTACCGATACTCTTTATTCAACCTCTTTTATGTCTTACCATTTTTTTTTCTTTTAGCGTCTTTTATGTAGTAGCGAATTTCTGACCGATTTTGGCGATCATTTTTACCATTCTATTTTATTCATTAAATGAGTCTGATTGAGCACTGTATTCATTAATTTTGATAACTTATTCGAGTAAAAAGCATAACTGATAAGGGTAAGCAATAGACAAAATATATAGCTTTATATGTAATTTGGTTAATTGAAGTATTTAACATTCTATTTGTAGCGATAAAGAAATATTTTAGAATTATAGTAGAAAATTCAGAATTATATTATAAATGTATATTTGCTTTTATGCACTGAAATTAAATGGTTTTATAACTTAAAATAATATGTATTTAATTCTTTTAAATTAAATTCAATATATTTAAAAAATTTTTTTTTATAAAGTTAAACGCATTACTATTAAAATTTAACTATGTTATTTATTACAATTGAATTTACAAATAAAAATATTGTAGATAAAAGATATTCTTAAATTTTGTATTTCATAATTATATAGTATTAGAAATAATTAAAATAGTTAAAATTCAAAGAATCGAGTTTGTGGAAAACAAAATTTTAATTTAATCACATGATGTTCTCGTGGCTTTTATAAAGTTCTTTAAGTATAAAATATTATAACAACAAATCCTTTACATGATATTTCATTATCTCAGGCGTGAAATTTCCCAATTTATAGAATAGGTACATTTTTGCTCCTTTCATGAAATGAATCAATGACGTGTAAAATTTCATATATTTAAATATAATATACGCACGCAGTTATAGGTATTGTATTTGTTTGTTGTATCATGAAATAGAAGAACTTAAGTTATTTTAAGCTTTTTGATTATATATCACTTACGATTCTATTCAATTAGAAAAAATTAAAAATTAAAAACCGTATTAAATATTTTAAGATTTTTGATTATTATGATGAATATAAATTAAAAAAACAAAAAAAAAAAAAGCAATATTATTACGTTTACATCATTATATATTATTTTCGAATTATGCAAGCCATAATACATAACCTAACAGAGACTTTTTTTATTAGAAATAATCGTAATATCAACAAATTATTTTATATTTATTAAATTACTAGCTATCCTTGTGCACTTTGTAGTCCGAATGAAATGCATCTGTATTAACTTTGGTTGCCTGATGCTAACATTTAGCTTAACACCTGTGGATAAAAAAAAATTTTAGTTTTCTGATTCCGTGTATAAATATTTAAAATTTATTAATTTTACATAGCTGTTCCACTAAGTTTTGCTTTTTTTTAACCATTTAACAGCTGTAGGTTTTTTAAAATTATTTTATTTTTTATTTTTTTGGACAACCCTAATTTAATTTCCTTTTTATTCTGGACCAAAAACTAATAATTCATAAAGTTTTATTAATGTAAATCAAATAAAACTAAAATGTTTTGTACTGTTATACTATATCAACTATTCATCTAAATACTAATTTCTAATAATAACAGTTAGTTATATAATATATAAGTTAGTATATATATATATATATATAATTACATAGTTAATAATAACTGGTAACACGGAAGGAAAAAATGTATGTACGTATTTTTACCGATTATTTAAAAAAATAATAACTTGATAATTTATTAACTTATAGAATCAGAAATATGTTTAAAACCTGCTCCATGTTGTACTATTTTATTAAAAAAAAATAATAAACAATCAAATTAATTGGATGAGTAATTTTAGAGAATATGCGTGCTTAAGATTTTTATTTTTACATTTATGTATGTATATAAATAGATGCTAGTGAATAGTAAACAATAGATAAAAGACACTGTTATTTTTTGAGTTTTTAGCCCATTATTCGCAATTGAAACAGTTAGTTTCAATAATAAGGTATTATAATGAAGTACATAAGGGAAAAATATTAGTTAAATTATTTACAAAAATATAGAGAAGAATATAAGATTAAAAACAGTTTTTAAAGAAAAACAAATAACATTTTATTTTAATAAAGTATCTTTATTAGTATTTTGTAGATAACTTTTATAGTTATTAGTTATAACTTGTAAGTTTTAAAATATTTTTATTTTTTTTCGATTAGTGTTGATAAAATATTTGAAAATTTAATAAAATGTTTACCATAAGTTACTTAAAATTTAAATATTCTTATTATTATCAATGAATAATTATCATGATTACAAATTCATTTGATTTTAAACTTAATAATCGATGATATTTGTTGTGATATTTGTAAGAGAAATGTCAGTAAATTAATAATGAGTACAACAGTAAATATTTATACTGATTGGGTTACAAAAAACAAATGGTGTGATATAAATATCAATTGTTGTCTGTTTTTTGTATTTGTTGTTATAAAAATGGTTAAGTGTCGATCAGCTATTTATATATCTATAAAGTAAATAGTATATAATATCATAAGTCTTTTATAAATCTTTTATTATAATATAATATTGATTACTTACCAAATTTGTGGTTTACTTATTACTGAAATTTTCTGCGTGTAATGATAAAACTCTGAGAACGTAATTGCAAAATATTTTTTTGTTTCTAATTTATTCCAAGTAGTAAAAAAAATATCAATTACAGTAATGTTAAAATAATAATAAAATTTAGTTTTACATGACTTTTTATATGAACGATTGGTTATTAATTTTCGTATACCTATAGGTACCTATCATAATATTAGAATGTATATCGGTGTCTTCATAGTTTGTAAACACTAAACATGTAGTACATCGTTTAAGTAAAAGTAGCTCTGATGCTTAGTTTTCTGGGACCTGGAGCAAATCATATTACTGGAAGGAGTCCTAAAGTATGCCAAATATTTTAATATTCTATAGAGTAGAATATATTCTTAAAAATACACAATCGATGAATAAATACCGAATACCGAATAGTCATTTTTATTTATTGGCGTTTAAAGTTTAGATGAGTTTAAACCTAACCTTTATCCACGCTATAAATTTCAATAAATTAATAAATACTTGGTCCAGCAATAAAAAAAAATTAATTTTTTATACATATAAGTTGTAAAAAATTAAACATATCCTCATTGTACTGCTGCAGTGATTATTTAATAATTACAATAACAGTTGGTATCATACCGTTGTATTTGAACTGTTAGTTTACATATAATCGTATATTATTATGAAATTCAAAATCGTACAATTATATATGTAGACCCGCCCCAGTAAATGTACGTCCTATGTATCTGTTCGTTTTATACTATTGCCATTTAACAAAACGAAGTCGTTAAGTTATTTTTGTCTTAATTTTTTTTTCATATATCTGTTAAATATATTTTAATTAAGAACAGTATCTTTGGCGGAAAGAAAAATATAATTATTATCGATGTTCATTAATATGTATTTCCATCGCGGCAGGGCGTTCGTCCATATTATATTGTACATACCTCTTACTTATATATAACATCACTGCTGCCGTACAGTATTATTTATACATCATAATTCGCGCGTACAAGATTTAACAAAAAAATTTTTAAATAATCTGGCAACGGTTCGAAATGACGCTTGTAACTTCTCGTCACACTTCTTAGTTATATATATTAGATAGAGTATATCGTGTGTGTGCATGTGAAAATTATGTAGTGTGTACCAAATGTGTGCCGGCGACCTGCACTCTTACTATAGTAACTTCTAATAGCTTTTTTAAATAGACATTTTAGGCCTTGATTAGTATGTATATTCATATGATGTAATCTACACTTAATATTTATTTTTTACAACTAAAAAAAATGTTAATTCTAAGTTTAAAGGATTGTTGTTTTAAGCGTGAATTGTTTTAAAAAACATTAGAATAAACTGTAAAATTAGTGTGGCTTGTTAAACGGATCACCTTGTTTCTTTTAACTGTCATGGTGGGAGAAATGGAATGAAATAAAATGTAAAAAAAAAAAACAATAATACATTCGGCCGCCTGCTGGCTGGCACGGGTTTTGTCGTACCACGGCGCGGCGGAGCAGTACACAGTTAATATCGTGGTGGTTCGCACAGTTGTATGTTAACGCAATGATCGTGAACGGGACGTAACAACCATAGATCGTAAGTCTTATTAATCGTAAACGACTTTTGGAATATTGTGACGTTCATAGATTTCTCAGTGGAAATCGCGTACCATTTTCTACATATTGACAATGCGGTAAGGACGTCTTGCGTAGCGCGTACAAACAGTAGTTGATACTCTGCACATAGATGTGATATTTAATATATTATGTACAATGAGATCCCTAATACTGAGCATTCTTTGTCATCGTAATTATTTCCGTAATTCAGAGAGTTTAGTCCGTAAAATGTTTGTAGTTTGAAAAAACTGTTCGCAAAAAAAAAAAATGTTGGTACTTGATTTAAATATGTCTATTGGGGTTTAATTACATTATAGATATTATAGTATCCATATTATAGATGTTGTAGTAAACGTCCAAAATAATACTTATATTATTTTAAAGTTTGTACATTTTGCTCAATGTAAAAATTAAATAAAACCTTAGGATTGTAAATATGTGTATAATAATAGTATTTACGAAAATATAGTAGGTATTAAAAATTTAAAACATATGGTATGTTTAATTTTTTTCCCCACAACATTCACTTTCAGCTGCAGTAGTTAAATATAGTAAAAAGTTTTCAAACATTTTATTTTACACTAATGTTTCGGCTTACTATTAAATTTGTTGCTTTTAATATAATAATAATATTACGATATCTTTAAAGTTGTTGCGTATTAAACACGACCCATATTAGTTAATAGCATTTAAATTCATATTATTAACTATTCATTTATAATTATTGTCCTGTTCTATAAAGTCGCTAAAAACTATAAAAACGTAATTTTCAAATTAACCATAAGCTATTAAAATGTACAAATCATACAATTATCAAAAACAATGTTATCGTTAAATATTTTTAATTATTTTGAAATATATTTATATTTATTTTTTTATTTTCTTAAATTTTTTAATATACAATTAATACATTAAAAAGTGGTAAAGTAAGTAACCACTTTGCTGTATAGCAAGAGTTTAGTTTATTAATGATGGGTTTTTTAAATTTGAATTCAATAATGAATCATGATAAACGATTAAGGGATGATCTAACTTTTGATAACCAACGTTACCAAACAATTATATTTATAACAATATTAAAATATTAATAAATATTTCTATTTTTTTTTTTGATTTTTACTAATTATAAGTATTTTTTTTAAAAATCTGAAAACTTTCAATTTTGACCTCTCAAAAGTACTTGTTTATTTAAATTGTTATAGGAAACACAATTGTTTCAAAAGAACATTTCATTGTAAAAAAATTTACATTCAACATTACGCTCAGAAGCTTGAAATTATAGAAACTTTATTTTGAAAACCTATAACTTTGAACTACAGTGATTGTAGATGGACATGATATCACTATACATTAAAAAAATATGTATGCATTATGCATATATAATGGTTTTTTTTATTATTACTCATTAAATTGATACAATTAATATAACTTATTATTGTCCTATTAATATATTTATTCTTAAAATATAACATTGTATACGAAATTGTTACGTAACATTTAGAGAAAAAGACATATAATACTTTTTTTTCTAATTGATCTAACGGATTTGACTAATAAAATATAAATAATCATGTAATATAAAAAAAAAAAATGTAATTCATTATCTAGGAATGTAGATTAAACGATATATTTTTCTAAATTAAATATTGCACATTGTTAACCAAGGTGACAAAAGTCAGATTGAACTTGGGGTGTATATGTTTTACGTAATTCGTATTTATAAATATATAATATAACTTATAAGTAGTAAAATAGTATAGAAATAAAAATAAAAATAAAAATCTTAGATTAATAATTTTTTTTTCATTTATATATATAATTCTGTTTTTTTTTTCAATGCTTATTTAGAACTTAAGTTGCTTCTTGAGTTCTTGTAAATAATAATTCGCATTTTACATACATCACTATATTAATATAATTTATTATTATTAGTATAAATAATAAATTATAATAAATTATTATTATTATAATAATAATTGTAAAATATATATTAATTGATTTTGAGTTCATATAAGAAAAAAATATAAAACATATGAGTAGGTATATGTTTCAATGCAATTTAATAAAACTATTCCAAGGTTAGATTAAAAACTATTTTACATTATATTTGGTTCAATATTGAACATGAAGATATTTGACACGAAATGAAGGCGCAGGTAGCGAGTTATAGTTGTGTGAAATATAGCTAACAGTTTCCTATGATAAATTATATATGTATGCAAATAATCAGAGGATACATGAAAAAAATATTGCTAATGTATAAAAAAAAACTACGCATCATTTTTTTACCTTTTAAGCATCACAGGTATCTCTAATCCTGTTTGTATGTGAATAGTGAATACACAATTGGTAGGTACTCAAGCCTTAGATTATGAATTGACTATTGAGCCAAATAGACATTTGCCATGAGTGACCTACTCTAGTTGTGGGATCGTTCAGATATTTTAGGACGTAGATAAATATAATATATAAATAATATAACTTTAAAAATGTTTGTTTAACAATTAATTATTTGTAAGTATATATAATTGTATTCCTAACTATATTATTAATAGTTTTTTATTTTTTAATTTGTTATAAATTATACTAAATATACTATATAATATAATTATATTACACAAAATAGTGAGGTTATGAATAAAGTATTATATTATTTAAAAAATCGATACATCGAAGTATCTTTTAGTTTTTTGTTTTTTTTAATATTGGTATTTTGTATAATATTAATATAAAATAAATGTAAAAATATTAAATAGAACTATAGCTAGTTGAAATTAAAATTATGAAATTAATTTCTGTTGAATGAGTTTCATGACATTTAAAAAGAATCCACTGCCGAGAATCATTTATATTCTGCTTTTCCTTTACACCTTAATACTCTAGGTTTTATCATATTCAATCTCATGAAATAGTATTGGGATTCTAATCGCATTTTTTAAACCTTTTAGTTTTTACTTAGCTAATGGTATACAACCATCGCGTTTAAAACATTGCTACTTTTGCATATTATTCCAGTTGAAATCAGTTTTTTTTTCTAACAAAATTGGATCTCAATTTTAAATATATAAGGAATAAAGCTATGAAGGTTATTTACAGTCTAAAATCTTGTTAAAATAATGAAACAAAATATTTTTGAAATATATAATTCAAATTAAGGAAAAACCTATACAAAAAATGAGACAATAATTTAGTGTGTCACCAAGTCTGAAATCATTTGCTAGTGCACTTAGATATCTATCACGTTTCTAGTCCTACATCGATTTACTGACTATACGTTCATATTATATTTAAATGACACTGGTATCGAATTATTGTTTGATATCATCGACGTAATAGTTATTTGTAGTTTATTTAATTATACTAATAGTTAGGTATAACGAGTATTTTTTTATCTCGTAATATTATTATGATAGTATACATTTAGGAGCATATTCACGATGCCGTGGAACTACGATTTCACGTGTGATTTGTGACATTTGTTTGAAAAGTAATTCTAACAATTATTTTTTTTACAAATCAATCGCATAATAAAATTATATGATTTTCGATTTGTTAGACTTAGTTTAAATTTGCTGTATAGCTCTCTAGGATACAAAGTTTTAAAATGTTTAATTACTACTTTCTAATGGAATTTATATTGAACACAACTTACATAATCAAATTCAATAACGTTAATTTTTAATAACTTTATTACAGTAAGCAATATTATTTCTGATTCATACGAAACTACGTCTGCAGTATTGATGTCTTTTTTTTTCTAGAAAATCTGTTAAAACATATTTCATTGGTATTTTATACTGCGATATATGCGATCTTCAAATCTAATATTTGTTGAATTCCGTGTTTCATGTGCTACTACATAATGCCTATTTAAAGTGGTTTATTTAATTAATGACCCCCATAAATTAAAGTTTGACGTGTTATTATGTAAACAATAATACTACCAGACAATGTACGGTTTTTATATATTTAGTGGAAATTATAATATTAAAATAATAAAATTATACCTTTTTGTATAAATATGTGTTTATTAATATTGACAAATTTCGTTTAATTTTGAATTAAAAAAATGATATAATTGCAAATCATGATAATAATGTTTTTAATTAAATATTAAAGAAACCTACGTGTGATGAATAACGATTATTTACTATATATTATTGCAATATGTGTTTTGAATAATTTTAGCCACAGTTTATGTTCGATTAATATTAATAGCCTAAAGTAATGTTGATTAGTTTGCGTTGGAAAGAAATAATAATATCCATAATTGAACAATGCTCAATTTAATACTAGGATTTCAGGAACAGTTTTTAAAATATAATGTTATATACCTGTAGTCTGTAGGCTGTATATAGTAACAAATTTAGGATTATATATTTTTTTAACTTGACTAAACTTTAAAACATTTTTGTGTTTTAATACTATAATTAATGCACTAACAACGTTTATTGTAAAGATTTTGAATAAAATATAATTTGTTTCATGTTTTTCATTTAATAATAATTTATATTTATTTTACTTATAACGAATAAGAATTCTTTAAAATTATGCAAGAGATGTTTGAGACTCAATTTATTTATTATTGAATACAATGTTTTGTATTTATTTTTTAATAAGTATAAAATAAGAATTAAAGGAAACTTTAAAGAGTTGTCTGGGTACTTTTATATTTATACTTGTCATCATTATCATTACAGTACATATTTTACTTATGTTTCAATGTATAATCTACGAAAAGAAATTCTTGGAACTTAATGTCAATAAAAAATAAACACTGTTTTTAATTTAAAACTCTCTACATTCAATATAATGTTCATTATTACATGAAATAAAAGTGTAAAATACATTATTTTTGAAGTAGGTGCGACGATATAGTGAATAGTATGGTAAATATGTATAAATATATTATATACATAATATATACTCATTTAAATCAAATTTTATTTCTAATATCTCATATATTTATTGATTTTTGTA